CCTGGAGGGGGCGGGGTGTGAAATATCTCACTTGTATTTAAAGAGACCGCACCAAAACAGCTTGCTCTGAGGCGCAACTCAGAACAGGGGTAAAAGCAAGGAAAGCAAGGAGTCTGTTGAGCAACAAAAACGAGGAATTAAGACCAAAGCGTTGCAGTTTTATTTTACATAGACCATAAGTGAATGATTTAGATGTGAAAAAGAAGGATTTAAAAGCATGATATAATACCCTTAAACTAGTGGTCTTGAGAGCAGCTGCAGCTGTATGCTTTTATTTTTTTCTGTCAGGCTGTCGCGGAGCGCTCCACTCCTCTGTCCTGTGAGGCGGACAGCTCAGCCGAGGCTGTCACGTTCTCTCGTTCTGGCCACACCTCCGCTCTCTAACCCCCCTCCCCTACCCACTTTGATGCATTTTTCAAATTTCACCTTGGGGCAGAGTTATCTTTTCACAGGGGGGGTAAGATACACTTTAAAATAAAAACAGTGTGACTGCTGAGTCAGCATCCATACCTCTAAGCTGAGGTGCTTCAACACTTCCTGTATTGTTGATCTGTGACTCACTCATGCATGCTTGGCTCAGAACTTAGCACGTCCACATAGATGAACTTGAAAGTTCCTATTTGGCCATTAAGCATGCCTGTCCATGTTCCCAAAGGTGGTTTGGCCATGACATCAATCACATCTCCCACCTGCAGGAAAGTTCTCAGTTTAACTTTTATAAAAGCATTTCTATACCATTAAAATAAAAATGTGTTTTGAATACGTAGATATTACTTTCCTCCTGCCGTTTTAAAAATAATAACTTTATAAGTATTTTACATAGAACACTGTGTTTTTTTTTTTTTACAAGAGTAAATAGCTGCAGCTGAAATAAGGTGGAACTCTTGTGGTTTGGCCTGAAGTTCATTCTGCCAATAACCATGTGTTGTAAAACACACAGCAGTGTAAAAGTTTATGTATTAGAAATTTTAAAGACTGGAATTATTTTAAGATGTAATCCAGTAATCCATTTTGGAACTGGATCTGTCTGTCTGAATGGACTCGACTCCACAGTGAACTACAACATTTTACAACAACTCCAGTCAATACAAATTTATATCAGTGTGTGACAGTGATTCTCATTTATTTTCTGTCATGCCCCCTCTAGGGAAATTTTTTTCCACACAAAAGCCACCCATGAACTTGGTGGTGGACCCCAAGTGAGGAAGGCTGTCAAGTTAAAGAAAAAGTCCTACTGGGACTGGTTAGCTGGCACTAAGCTGAAAGATGCCAAATAAGCTACATCCTTGGCTGTTGGTGAGGCAAAAGCTAGGATCTGGGAGGGGTAGCGGCTTTGGATATATACTCTTCATTGGCTCAGAGAAGATTCTGACAAACCAGCCAGTGGTTGAGGCTGAGAAAGTAGCACTTTACTAACACTGTGCTCAAAGTAGGTGGGATGCTGTTGACTTCATTCATTGATGTTGTTGGGCAGTGGAAGGAATACATGTTAGACCTTCTCAATCCCACTGGGATGTCTTCTGACAAGGAAGCTGAGTCAGGAGACTTGGAGGTTGGGCCGTCCATAATTGGGGCTGAAGTTGCCAAAGTATTTAAAAATCCCCTTGACTCCATGGGTGGAAAAGTTCTGCCCTAACTTTCTCAAGGTTCTGGATGTTGCTGGATTGTCTTGATTGTCACACTCTTGCATTATTGCATGCACATCGGGAACAGTGCCACTGGTTATTCAGTCTGTACACAAGCAGTACAAGAGTTTGTTTCATATAGCCAGTAGTAAATCAGACCCCTTCAGGGTGGGAGTTTGACTCCACCAGAGCTGACTTCTCAGTGCTGCCAGGGGGCGGAAGGAGTCCTGTTCAGTGGCCTTAGGATACCATCTCTGCTATCTGCAGAGGATGTGGTCCTTTTGGCATCATCATACCATGATCTTCAGCTCTCACTGGAGCAGTTCACAGCTGAGTTTGAAGCAGCTACAGTGAGGATTAGAACCTCCAAATCTGAATCCATGGTCCTCAATCGGAAAAGGGTGGATTGTTCTATCCTGTTTGGTGGTGAGGTTCTGCTTCAAGTGGAGGAGTACCTTAGGTTTGGTTAGGTAACTTAGGATTGTTCTTCTATTGTACTTGTATCTTACGGTTTTGTTCACAAGTGAGGGAAAATGAAGTGTGAAACTGAAAGAYATATTGGTGCAATTTTAGCAGTACTGCAAACTTTGTACAGGTCTGTTGTGGTTCAGAGGGAGCTGAGCTGTAAGGCGCAGTTCTCCATTTAGGCCTGCGTCACATGACAGGATAATTGTGCAGAATTCTGGCACAATTTTGCTCTTCCGACAATCAAGGATATCCAGGTAACTGTAATGACTCTAAAGATAATCTTAGCAGATATCCCTGCTGTGGGTGATGAGTTAAGAGTGATCTAGTCAGCTTGGAAGATGTCGGGACTGCTCTAATCACAAATCAAGGATATTAAACATCTTGGCTGGTCTTGGCCTATCACAGAGTGTRTGGTGTTAACCCGAGAATAAACGAGTTTACAACCTGTTGAATACGACGTGCAGCCAATCAGAAAACAAGGTAACGTAAACACAATCCAAAAGACATAAAAAACTGTCATGACTCACCAGAAAGTCCCCTGGACTATAAAAGTCATTTTGAATTGTTTTTCCTATGGTAAAAATAGTCTACAAGTGATCAACATGGTTTCTTCCTCGTCTCTGTTTAATTACTTTGAACTCGTGTCTCTCTAGAGGTCACATGTGATTTTTTTTCTTTGACATCTGAATTCTCGCAAGATTTTAAGAAGTCTCYCGCGATTTTGTGTCTGACATTTGAATGTTCAGAAATGAAAAATCTGTCCGTGTGTGGTGTGTTGTCTCTTGCAGCATGGCTGTATATCACACATTGTAGGACCTAACCTGGTAGATCCAAGTTATTTATCCTCACGTGTGGTGTCTCTCATTCTTTGAAAATCAGCTGAAATTTTCACAATTTTGCAGTGTGACGCAGGCCTTGCCAGTAACTCTACATTCCTACCTTCACCTATGGCCAAGAACTTTGGGTAGTGACTGAAAGAACAAAATTACAGGTACAGGCAGTCAAAGTTAGTTTTCTCTGCAGTGCATTTGGAATCTCCCTTAAAGGCTGAGAATTTCAGAGGTGCTGCTCCTCCACATCCAGAGAAGCCAAYTGAGGTGGCTCATCGGGTAAGGATTCCTCCTGGATGCCTTCTTAGGGAGGATTTCTGGAAAAGTCCAACTGAGAAGAGACCCAGGGAAAGACCTAGGACACTATGGACAAATTATGTCTCTCAGTTGGCCTGRGAACACTTTGGAGTCCTCCCAGAATAGCTGGAAGAGGTGGCTGAGGAAAGAGAGGTCTGAAACTCCCTGATCAAACTGCTGCCTTTGCAACTCGACTCAGATTAAGTGGAAGATAATTGATTGATAGACATATTTGGCTTCCAAAAGTTAAGAATGTTTGTTTTTTACGGTTTTGTTTGAATTATATTGAGAAAATACATTTGAGCAAGATAGAACAAGTCTTGAAGTTTTTTTTTGAAAACATCCTCTCATTTGAAATTAGAATTTTTAGAGTCCATGTGAGTCTTTTAGTACCAAAAGTTCAAGTGTGTTGGCTAATAATAAAAATTGTATTGTATTTTCCCATTTGGTTTAAAACAATGTTTGAATACTACAAACTAAGAGCAAAGAATCTTGATTTTTTAATTTCTCTTCTCCTTTTGCATCAACTTTTACTGTATAAATTGTTTCATTGTTAGAACAGAGAAAAAGAACTATTATGATCCTACAGTTAATTTTTGTCATGTTTCACTGTCACTTTATAGATGTACATACCTTGAGTCGAAGAGATTCGGTGTCATATGGACTTGGCACATACTCTGTGTGGACTGTAGCTTTGCAACAAAACTGTTTTGTGGAAGACAGATCCTCCTCCAGCTTCAGACTTTCTCTGTTGCTGGAGCAACCTGACCCACTGGTAACTCCACCTAGAGCACAGGTTGTACACAGGATGGTTCAGTAAAAGGTGGGTTCAATAATGAACATGATTTTCAAATAAACATTCAAGCGTTTGACAAGATAACAAAGGTGTGTGATGGAAATCCTGCTTTTGGTTCATTAGGCCATCAAAAAAATCAGAATACAGATTCTACAACAAGGACTAAAATTTGTTGAGGTGTAGTATGAAATGGTTCTGAGCCTGAAAGTTCTTACTGGAGGAGCTTTTTCTACTGTTGAGGCTGTAGAGGCTTTCCATGGAGTTTCTAGATTTCAGGTGTGTTTTAGTAAATGTTCTTTGATGACCAGCTTCCATCTTCTCTGCTTCATCCTTTTGTACATCTTTATTCTGCAAATTAAAAACAAGATACATTCCCTTTGAGATGGCAGTGCGCACAGCTCCACAGGAGCTTGGAGCATCTCTCATCGACAGTGTTTTTTTAAATTTTGCTCTTGATTGTACATTTGATTTTTCTCTGCCTGACCTGCCATGTGTTTATCACCTACAGCCTACAAGATATTTTCCACATTGGATTATGGAGCAAAAAGTATTTAATCAMGGACTTTTTACACATGCATAACATACCCAAGAGACATAGCCCAGACGCCGGGCTTTTGTTTCCATGGGCTCATCACCTGTGGGAGGGGCTGTAGGGATCGGGTGCAATGTGCAAAGAGGCAGTAGTCGAAGGCGAGGACACTGGCGGTCTGATCCTCRGCTACAGAAGCTGGCTCTATGGATGTGCAATTTCACCTCTCTGGTGGGGAAGGAGCCTGAGCTGGTGTGTGAGGTTGAGAGGTTCCGAATAGATATACAGTGGTTTGCAAAAGTATTCATACCCCTTGAACTTTTCCATATTTTGTCACATTACAACCACAAACATAAATATATTTC